TTAATATGGTTCTTTGATAAAGGTGATTTAACTCAGCGTGGCTTTACATTCAATGTATCAATCTGGCAGTTTATGCTTCCTGGCTGTGCAGAAGCATTATTGTGCGTATGATCCTTGAATTTTTATGTAATTCTCTAAATGATTGTCATGTTTCTTTCTTTTTATTTTTTTCCCTTTTTGGATGAATGCATTTTCTGACTGCATTTTGAGTATAGTCAGAAGAAGTTACATTACTGTGACCTGAACTTAGATACATATATACATCTAAATGTCAGCTTGAGAGCATGCTTGAACGGACTAAACATGAAAGCAGAGAATAGAACAAAAAGGACAGGAGAGGGATAGTAGGATTGGATCAGTTCGGTCCCATCTTAGTAGAACTATCTTAGTTTGGTTCAGTCATCATATCTTGTGGTTTGGTTTTGCCTGGTTTGATGGAATACGGTCGGTTCAGTCACCCCTAAGGAAAGGTGAATCTCTATTCCCCACATCGAGCGGGCTATCTTGTATGGGAGAATTCCTGTGTTTTCAAGTTCAGAGGTGCCAGTTGTAAAGAACTTTACTTGTTTACCAAAAAAGGGGGCAATCTTCTTTCCAATTGAAGAAAGAAAAAGACATCTACCTGCCATTGGCACTTACACTATGTTTGCAAATTGCAGTGTAAGATGAGAAGAAAAAAGAAATATCATTAAGTTTGGTTGATTTATTTGCATAGAAACAAGGGTAAATATGAAAAATGAGGGTAATTTTATTAAATTGTTCTCTTGTTTTAATTTGTGTTGGTGTATTTGTAAAAATAATTTTAATAATTTAAAAAGTTAGTAAAGACTGAATTCTTTTTATCATTAAATCTCACCATTTAAAAAAAAAAAAAAAGAAAAATCACATTTTTTTATAATTTTTATCCCTTAAATTCTCTAAATATAATAATTTCACTATTTTAAATAATTTCTTTACTAAATTACTCCTGTTCAAGCACACTTATTTTGAAGTTCCGAAACTATTATGATTCTAGTGGTTAGAGAGATTCTCGTGACGGATAAAAATTTATATAGACACTTAATATTTAGATGAAGGCCAGAAAATTGTGATTCACAGAGCTTCCATTAACTAACTCTTTCATTGTGAAAAAATGTGTTCAAAAATTGGAAATTCACAAAATAATCTAGATGTATGATTAATTATCTAAGTGTCAAGTGTGGCTATTGCAATGGTGGCAGAAGTAAATGACACGTTGACAAAGAAAAGCAAAAAGAAAATTATTAGAGAGAGAGAGAGAGAGAGAGATTCCCAGAACCTGTCAGTTGTAAAGGCTGCCCCTAATTTGCAATTTCCATCGTTCAAATTGTAATCAGTTAAACTCGGAATTAAGGCATAATAATTTGATTTATATATTTAGATTTACTAGCAATTATAGAATAAATATAAATCCCATTTAAGAAAAAATATAAAGAATATGTTAAAATCCATTTGTATATGTACTTATATTGTTACAACAACAAATGAATCCATCTAATTTCCCAGAAAATTGCAAATCATTCATCAAGGTCTACTAATAATTATAATTAAAAGCTTCTTAAAATTGGTTGTATCTCCGAGAGAGAGAGAGGATATTGAGCTCTTACATTTTGACATCACCGATTATTATATGTTCCCTTTTGTAGAAAATTATGAAGAAGATTATCATGGAATCAATGTCTAGGCCAAATAATTAATCTTACAACGAATGTAAAATCACAAAAAAAAAAAATGTTTTTTAGAAAATGATTTATTAGATGCCATGAACACCAATTTAAGAAATTTTTCTCTTTTGCCCCAAACTCCAAAAAACTTTATTAATGATAAGGAAAAACACCAATGCCGCAAGATTTTCAATTTAATCCCTAAGCCACTATTTGAAAAGGCTCTATGCACAATCACATGCAAAGTTGTGTTACAAATTCTAAGACAATACAAGAATTTCATACAACTAAATTCTTTTGCTAAACTCATACAATTATTGATGACAATTTTGAGCTTTTACTACTACTTCCTTGACATTTATCTCACAAATAATTCCCTCAATTTATAAAGACATTAAAATACAAGAAACAAAAAAAAAAAAAAGAATAGAAAAACAATCTACAAATGTCATAACATGTTCATCTAAAACTTGGGGAAGTTCTTTTTCTTTTTCTTTTTTATTTTTGACAAAAATATAAACCTTACATTTAATTGTTCATCCAAAAAAAATTATAGAGTTTACATTGAGAAAATGTGAGAAATGAAAAAATAATGAATTATTAATTGTGATGATAGAAGTTTGCTTTTACTTTAATAGAAATAAAAAAGTAAATGTTGAAATGACAATGATATATTTCATAACATCCAATTAGGAAAAAATATATATACATAAATATATGGTAAAAAAAATTGGAGATAACATCATATCCACACTATCAAGGGAGAGAAGTGGAGTCCATCAGCTTAACTAGGCATCAATACTACAGTTACACATATCCTGTCTTATAAATTAGTTAAATTATCATGAGCAAATATAGTTTTAAATGGAGTGAAGAGAAATTTGAATATAACATTGTATCCATACTTTCAAGGGAGGGATATGGGGCGCATTGATTTAACAATTTGTCAATATTATAACTACCGTGTGTTCTTTTCATAAATTAGTTGAACTACAAACAAAGTAAAAAGAATTTTGAAGACAATATCGTATCCATTTCATTAATACTATAGTTACATGTAGCCACTTTGATAAATTAGTTAAATTATCAGGAGCGAATATAGTTTTAAATGGAGCCAAAAAAAAAAAAAATTGAAAAGAATGTTGTATCTATATTGTCAAGGCAAGAAAGTGAGGTCTATCAATTTAATAATACCTTGAGGTTATAATAACATGTATCCTTTTTTTATAAATTAATTGAATTACAAAGGGAGCAAAAAGAAATCTGAAGATAACATTGTATGAGTATAGTCAAAGAAGGGAAGTGGAGTTCATCAATTGAACCAGACATTGATATTATAGTCACACTTATCACTTTCTTGTAAATTAATTAAGCTGTTAGGAGCAAAAAGAAAAGTGAACACAATATTTTATCCACATGATCAAGTGAAGGAAGTGGGGTTCGCCAATTTAGTTACGTGCCAATATTGTAAGCAAGTGTATCTCTTTTCATAAATTAGTTGCATTATAAACAGCGTAAAAAGAAATCTGAAGACAACATCGTATCCAAACTGTCAAAGAAGGAAAGTGGAGTGCATTGGTTCAATGAGACTTCAATACTATAGTCACAGATAACTCCTCTTATAAATTAGTTAAATTATCAGGAGCAGATATAGGTTTAAATAGAAAATAGAAATTTGAAGACGACGTCGTATCTACACTATCAATGAAAGGAAGTGGGCAAGTGCCACTGTTTTAATCGTGTGGCACTGTTTTAATCAAGTGTATTCTCTTTTCACAATTTAGTTAAATTATAAATAGAGTTAAAAAAAAATTCATATTTGTATTCATGCTCTCAACAAAGGGGAGTGGAGTCCATCGATTCAACCACGTATTAAAACTGTAACCATCTGTATTCCTCTTATAAATCAGTTGGAACTTGGAAATCTATGTTGCCAGAATTGATTGGGAGAGACGTGTGGATTTATAATTGATGTAAAAACAAAGTTGGCGAAAAATGAAAATAAAAATTGCAACTTGTTGGGTTGGAATAGCCACCAACGGCCATCGTTCTACTTCGGTTCTTATCACGCTACAAAATTAAATTTTATCTATTATATTTTCATTAATAAATTAAAATTTATTAATTATTATCCACTTTGATTAATTCTACCTAATTAATCTTATTTAAATCTTTTTTCTGAAATAATCATTTATTTAAAAGTTTATTATTAAATGAGATCTTAGTGTTTTGATTTATTTGGAATTTAAGTTTGCTTTATCTTTATAAATTTGAACTTGATCAAGATTAAAATTTCTAGTAGATAATGCTTATCTTTATAAATAAAAATTGATTAAGATAATGAACTTCTTTTGATTTTATCTGAATTTTATTTTAATTAAATTATTAGCATATTTTAATAAGAAGATAAATTCAAAGTGAAATAAAATAAACATGAATTTCCATAATTTTTCCCGCTGGAAAATCTTTTATTATAAATTTTATATTTTAAATATCATAAAATTAGTTTTATGTAGTGCATTGTTTAAAGGACATTTAAATTTACTAATTTGAATCTGCTTGTAGCAAGAACGGAAAATCGTTTAAAATAATATGTCATGTATTCAGAAAATAAATAAGTATTATTTGAATATAATAAATTAAATATTAAGTTAACTGATATACTTATTCTCATTTAATAAAATAGAGAGAAAGTCATTATTATTTAAATTATCGAAACAAACTAATTTTAAATAAAACAAAACTCTTCTTAACAACTAATAATTCATGTAAAGCTATTTTAGTGACTGATTGTGGCTTATATTGCACGCGCACTGCACGTTGTTCTCACGCGCTTGCGTTTATTTGCTGAATTACGGAAACACTGTAGTCGCATTGATACGCTGCCGGCCCCGGCTTCATCGTGGCGCTCGCATAGTTCCAAGCGCGTGGCCGCCGACATCTTTGCAGACGAGAAGTAGAAGATGACACGTGCAGTCACGCTTGTATTGATTATGGTATCCCATACATGGGGGCCCTATGGGTACCAACCTTCTCTAACTTCGGCGCGTGTACACACGACAATGGGAGATGGGTAGGCCCCTTCAAATCTCCCGAAAGAAACGGGAGAAGGTGGAAACCGGATGCGGAGGTATCGGCTGGAAGACTCTCCAGCTCTCTTAAGTCGCATACACATAATTATATATATAAAATCATGTTATTCTTCTAGATCCCTCGCTTTGTCTCAAATAGCTATACATATTCTTTCCTCTGTGTTTGAGGAATTGAAGAGTGTGGGAATTTTGGTGTCTCTCTCTCCATTCTCCATCTGAATCTCAGTCTCAACCTAAGTTTCAAAACTTAGAAAATGATACACCCATGCGTTTCCAATGGAAGAAACCCATTAATCTCGCCAAACTTCGGATTGAAAACTTCCCCACCAAGACTCTTCCCCGTTTCTTGAGACAAATCCGCTGTTCTCACTCTCAGAACCCCAAAAACACCATTGACAAGCCCTCAGCCCCTCAAAGCCATCTCTTCGAACCCATCATTTTAGACCCCAATGAAGTCCCTCCTATTACGAAAAAGAAATTTTATGTGGAGAGAAAAGACAATTCTTCCCCTGCTGGCAGTAAACAAATGGTGGTTTTGTGTGGATTAGGCTACTGGGTGCAGGGTTTCAGGGGATTCCCTTGGCTGGGTCTTAACTTCCATATGGCTGACAATCTCAGTTTACGTCCTTCAACTCTTCAACTTGTGCAGAATGCTGCTAATCTGCCCATGGTGGTAAAACCTCTGTACGGAATCTTGTCTGATGCCATTCATATCTTTGGAGGCCACAGAATACCTTATATTTGTCTTGGAGGTGAGTATGCACTGCCTAAACACTTATTAAGAATGATTCTGTTTTCTATTTGTGCATATCTGGGCTCAGTTTGTTAATTTTGAAGTTGCTGCTTTGTGTGGTGGTTTCCTCTCTCTCTTCTCTTTCTCTGTCTTGAGCATCTATTATTTGTGGTTATTGCAAGCCCCTTACTTGTTCTGCTAACTTCTTGTTATGGCAGTAAAAACTTGCATATGGAGTATAACTGTCACATTTAGGTTCTTTTATCAATATATATATTTTGTGGATTTGAGCTGATAGTCTCAGTAGGAAAAAAACAGGCAAAAACTTACTTTTGTTTTGGAATTGTATATGTGGCTTCGTTTTACTGGTAAGCTAAAGGACCTCTGTATATATTTTATTGGAATACTGCGAATATGATGAAGTTGAGAGAAGTCAATGTGCGCTGTTACTGAGAACATTGGGAGGTGGGAAATGTACTCAGACTGAGTTCAGTTTGGTATTGAAAAATCCTGAACTCGCTTGGGAACATTGTTATTTATCCAAGAAATCTGCATCCATATTATTATGGGCATAATTCTATTTCCCATCCACTTCATTGTGGTGTACTTGTTCACTGTATAAAGCGTTATGCAAGCAGTAGAAATCAAACCTCATTCTGGATATATTTAGTAGTGAAACTGATCTTGCCTGATTAACTATTTTGTGGATGAGCAAATATGATGGCAATGCTAAAATATGTCGCAACCGAAAGTTCTTTTGCAGGTCCTATCATGGGGCTCAGTGGCAATGATACCAGTTGCAAGTGAAGCCCTTCCTACTCTCATGGCATGTGTTCTTCTTAGTAATCTTGGAGCATCCCTTACAGAAGTTGCAAATGACGCTCTTATAGCTGAATATGGCCAGAAGCACAAAATGAGAGGCCTCCAGTCTCATGCATTTATGATTTCAGCTGCTGGTGGAATCTTAGGCAACTTATTGGGTGGTTTTTTCTTATTGAAGACACAACAGCCCAAGTCTATGTTTCTAATATTCACTGCTCTACTTGCTGTTCAACTTGCAATTTCTCTCAGAACAAAAGAGGATTCTCTTGGTTTACCTCACACATCGAGCCAAGGTCTAGGAAGGAAATTTATTTCAGATCGCATTAGAAAACAATATTCTAATCTTATGATGGCAGTTAATGAAGAGAGTATCTCTCGACCTCTTATTTGGATTGTAGCTTCAATTGCCATGGTTCCAATCCTATCAGGTTCTGTATTTTGCTACCAAATGCAATGTTTAAATCTTGACCCGTCGGTGATAGGGATGTCTCGAGTAACTGGCCAATTGATGCTTCTTTCGATAACCATTCTTTATGATCGTTTCTGGAAAAATATTTCAATGAGAAAATTAATTGGTATAGCACAGATTTCATATGCTGCTTCTCTTCTTATTGACCTTATCTTAGTGAAGCAGATGAACCTTAAACTGGGAATTCCAAATGAAGTGTTTGTTCTTTGCTTTTCGGGGTTAGCTGAAACACTTGCACAATTTAAGCTCTTGCCATTTCAAGTACTTTTTGCAAGTTTGGCTCCTCCAGGTTGTGAAGGATCTCTCACTTCTTTCTTGGCCTCTACCTTGTGTTTATCATCAATAGTTAGTGGATTTTTGGGTGTTGGATTGGCTTCTCTTCTTGGAATAAGATCAGGGGATTACTCTAGCTTGCCTGTGGGAATTATTGTACAGTTTCTTGCTGCTTTGATTCCTCTTAAATGGATTTATAAGGTCCCCTTCTCTCCATCTGTTATAAAGGAAAAGCAGCGAGGTAGGAGTAAAAGAACTCGAAGAAACAGGAGAGTTGGAAGGGTTGGTTTTGGATCAATTTATGCCTACAGGAGAGAGCGAGGGTCTGAGTCACCGAGGTGAAATGATTGCTCATCAAAGAGTTGTATTGAATGTGGGATCAAATGGAAGGATGTGTGAAATTATGTATATCATGTTTTCTTCTTCATGCCATGTTGAGCAGAAGTTATTTGCCCACAAGGATCAGAATGAGATATCTATTGAATGCCTTAAAGCTCTGAACAAGTTCTATTATTAAAAAAAAAAAAAAAAGGATAAGGAAAAAGAAAAAAGATGCAAGTTTCAGCATGTTTTGAGCTCTGAAGAGTCCAGAGTCTCCAGACTTCATCATTTCCTGCTTTTCTGATCTTTCTGCTGGGATTTTTGTCTGTATGACTGGGGATATGTTCATCTTCAAAATGAACGGAAAAGGATTCATGTGCTTGACCGAAGTGGTTGACAGATTCTGTCAAATGATGTGTACATGACCAAAGTGGGTGGAAGATTTTGTCAAACGAGGAATCTTTTTGCATTCGGTAGTTTCTTCAAACAATATTCCCTTACGATTTGTTCCCCCAAACACCTTCACATGCTAGTTTTCTGAAGCAAAGAACAATAATCATTTAGGAAAAAAAATCTATAATGATCTAAAATGTGGTTGGTGAAGATCTGAAGTGTAGAAGTCTTCAACTTATGCAATCAAATAAAATTGAGTTGACAGAGGCTGCTTCTATTACAAAATTGTTGGGTTCGGCTGCAACAGAGCAGTCATCCAACACCTGTCAGGTGGCACGAAATAGCTGATAAAAGATCAACTTTTGAAGGATGGCCACGGGTATATCCCTCGTCATCTATGGTCCAAGGATGCGTCGAGAAGGTTGAAGAGTCTGTGTTAGAGACCATTTTTAGCACAACACTTGTTGCACACTTGTAGACACTCTGTAGGATACGCATCAGGCCATGTTCCATTTTGTTATTTAATTTTTGTTCCATCTGACACATTGAAGACTCTTAGAAGACACATATATCCAGAATAGAACATCCTGGACAGATCAACAATCAAGTATAAGTTTTGTTTACAATCTTAAAAGTTTTGAAGGGTATGATTTGCCTAGTTTTTGAAATTTAGGAATGTGGTATTAGATTAGATGCTCTGTATTCGTTGAACTTTTTCCCCCAAGAGTTTTATGCCATTTTTTACTTTGCAATACTTTAGACGAATATTAATAGGTATTTTTCTGTGTCCCAACTATGCCCCACATTTTGTTAAAATTATTGTATCCCCATAATCATATTGTGTTTGACATAACATACTGTCTTTGTTTATGCTTGTAGCTTGGCATTTTCCATTCCCATTTAGTTTCCCATTGTTTTCCCAAGGAAATTGAGGAAGAATTTAATGTAATCAAGAATGTCAGCAGTTTTCACTGCCATTTTGGAGGGGAAAATTCTTCTTATTATAAATGCTATCTGGTGGTGCAAGCCTTTTTTGTTTCGTGTTTATGTTGTTTGGAAGTATGTATTCCTTTTAGCTATTAGATGACCAAAACTAAGCTGTTGCAGAAGCCCTGTACTGGTATGAACATTTTGTATGCTTGAGGAGTCTTAGCTTGATCGAGTTTTGCAAATATATTTTTATGGGTTGAAATCGCTGTACATTGTCTTTGATGGAAATATCAGTTATTGACTACAAGCTACTAATTAGACAATTATCTGTTGGAAAATTTGTTACATAAATACGAAGCTCCTTCGTACTTGGCTATATTGTCTTCATCGTGGTAAGGGTGAACTGTTTATGCTTGAACTTTCTCCTCCATTGGCATTATCTGCACAAGGTTGTCTCTATTATTACCTGCTAGATCATAGTCTAATGCTTTTACACAACTCACTTCTTTCCGATTCTACTTGAATTCATGCTCAACTCTCATAATTTTCCTTACTAATCCTTTCTGCATCTTGGTGTCTCAACTGTGTAGACCACTGTCAAGAAAAATTACACCAACTGAACAAAATAATTCACAAGCACCAATATAATTCTCACTTCACTAAATGAAATCAACAGAAGAATTTAAGCAAATCAGAACTCTGACTGATATTGATCAACAAATTGCAACTCAAAATAATAACCAAAACCCAGTACCCAATCTTTAATAGAGAAGTAAAGAAACATTAGAAGACTTCATCTGTGCGGTTGCTTGACAAAATTGTGCCGTACTCCACTACTGAACTCCTTACTAAAAGCTTTTCTACGGGCTTGACAGCATAACTAACTCAATAAATTCAACCCTCTGTCCGCGCAGAAAAGGACTGGTACGTCTTCGATGAATTCCTCTCTTCCAAATGTGCCCTTTCCCCTTCTTCGAAATATAACCACGCAAAGCAATTTGAAGTTATAATTCAATTTTGTGATGATCAATTTTAATCCCATTGATAGGAGAAGGAGATGGTAAATTTGTCGACCATATGCCTTCAAATATGCAGGACATTGGAGAGGAAGGGGATCTATAACTGATTCTGTGTTACATCTATCCTTCGAAGGTCATTTGGTCCCCCAGGGAGAGAATGTCTTCTCAGAATTCTCAAAGTTCAAGGGGAAGGGTAACTAAACACACGCTAAAGCATCCTTTTTCTGTCGAGATAACTTGCTTGGCAGTAGGTTGTCATTTTTCATAGACCGAACCAAACAGATTGTTGTGGTTATGCTAACATAACAGATCATGTGATATTTGAAAACATCCAAACTGAAATTAATTCAGTTCCCTTATCAACAGAATTAACCGAAAAACTTACAATATGAAAAGGATGTTTGGAAACATATTTAGTATATCCCAAGTGGCAAAAAGCAAGAGAGGAAAAAAATGATAGTTCTTCACTCTCTTTTCGTGGCAATAATATGTTGTCTTAAGCAATCAACCAAGAAGAGAAAGCGAAACACGACTATTCATTTCTTCTGTTAACTGAACTTTGAAATGCCAAAACTGAAGCCATGATGAATAATCTATGAACATAAAATTCATAATTGAACCGAAAATTGATGAACTGAAATTAATAAATTGGTTTAGTTAACTCGGTTATTTTATTCTTAATAGAACAGTGCTCACCTATACTCGGCTTGGCTATTTAGTAGAAGAATAGGCCATTGATGATCTTTTAAAATGGCTAATACCTAATGGTGCTTTTGTAACATCCCGTCGTCTCACGTTAACTTTTGAAAGTGATATAATATAATATATAAGATATTAAAGATTATTATTAAATAACTTGAGTTTAAATATTTTGTGTTAGTAATTTAGATTTAATAAGTTGTTTGGGTAAATAATTCTCGTGTCGTCACAAATGGTATCAGAATAAAAATAATATTTGAACATGTTCTATTTAGACACAAATATAAATTTGTAATTTGACGAAAATATCAAGTATTTAAATGAATGATTTTATAATAGCCATTATAATTTCATATTGACAGAAAAGTTGTGGGAAAAGCTTTAATATGGTTTTTTCACTCACATGTTTTCTTCAGGAATCCTTGGAAAGGATAATAATAATAACATGAAAAGCAAGTAGAATTGTAGTGTTAGGTATTACCCTTTTTTCTGGCAGGAAATAGAACGGGGGATTTGGAGTTGGGATTGTAGGGGGTTTTTGCCCAAGTGAAAAAAGTTCCAATCATTATTTAATGCCAGTTTCTATTTTAAACAAATTTGTAATGTGGTTGAAAATGACAAAGCTGTAGAACTATGGCACACGAAGCTCAATCACACGAGTGAAAAAGAGATTGACACCTTAGCCAAGAGGAATTTGCTGTATGGAATAGAAGGGGCAAAATTGAAGAGCTGTGAGCATTCTTTGGCAGAAAGTAAAAACGGTTTCATTCCAAATGTATTCCCCTTCCAAGAAAGTTGACCTACTAGAGCTGATTCACTTAGATCTGTGCGGTCCCATAAAGGTAAAATAACATTGAGGAGCAATTTATTTCATGACATTTATTAATGATTGCTTTAGAAAACTCTAGGTTTGCACTTTAAAAATCAATGATCGGGTTTGCAGTGTGTTCAAAGATTCTTAGGTTACGGTAGAGAGATAGACTGGAAAAAAGTTGAACTGTATTTACAATTGTGCAAATCAAAATTTTGGTTGGGTTTTTAATAATTAAGTTTAATTTTTTGGTTTTTTTTATTGGTTTATTAGGTATTTTAAAAACCAAACAAATCAACTTGATTATAAACCAAAATTGAATCAAACCTAAACAGTTTAATTCAATTTAGTATAGCTTGTGTTGATCTTAGGTTTGATTTATTGCTATTAAATAATCATTTAAATAAATCATTCATTTAATTTTAGGATGTTTAAGAGAGAGAACTTTTGTGGAGGGAAAATAAATTTAGAATTTTGATTTATAATTCAGAATAATTTGGTTTGGATTTTAAACTCAATCAAATCATAAACTTAAATTATTCTTTTAGACCAAATGAAACTAACTTCAATTTAGTAAAAATTAAACTAATTCTTAAAACTTAATTTAATTTAATTAATTAATTTAGTTTTGCACGCCGTAAATGTATCCCAACAATGGATGTTAGTATTGCGGACCTTTTGATGACAATTGTAGCTCACAAGGCATGGGATACTAGAAAGTACTACCCAGACAGTGGAGCCAAATGGATTGGCAACAGGAATGAATTTATTAGCATTCTAACAAAAAAGTCAGATGTCTCCTCTTGGAGGTAAAATTGCAAAAGTCCCTCTAGGCGGAGGTTTTACATACTACTGCTTATGCTATTAATTTGTCTCCTTCTGTCGCTTGGGAGGCTGATTTCCCAATAGAGTTTGGATAGAATAGGATGTTTCATATGATCATTTGTGCATTTTGGGCTACAATGTACATGTTCTGAAAATTATGAGGTCCAAGCTATATATTAAGACGAAGAAATGTATTTTTGTTGGCTACCAAGGGGACGAGTGCCGATACAAATTCTATGACTCGGATGTGAAAAATCTCCTCAGAAGTAGAGATGAGATATTTATTGAGGATTTGACCACAATTGACATCGAGAAAGCAAACAAATCAAAATTACAAAGTTATG